TTCTCAAAAAGACTATATGACACCACAACATATTATTGAATCATCGAAACTATACTTTAAGATTGAAGGGAAAAAAAGAATTACCTTACTTCCATTATTAAGTGAACTAGATATTTGGAACCAAATGGATGTATGGAATAACATGTTTACAAAACTCTGTTGTATAGACAAAGAACTTATATATAGAGAGGTGTATGGGTTAGATCTTCCATCAAGATGGAACTTATTTAATAAAGAACAACAAGATAGGTTTAGAGATGAAGAGACACAAAGAATCAAAATTAGTATGAAATCATTATTAGAGACTATGCACATTGTTCAGGTAAGTGATACAACTATCAAGAAATTTGTTGGATATTCTTTAAGTCAATTTCGATTCGATGAAAAAATAAGAAAAGAAATAGAGGAAATTGCACTTTCTAGATGTAATATTATAACAGAGAGTATTGAAAATAATAAAGAAAGAGCTTTATCTAAAATGAGAGAATTGTATAATGCCGTTTATCTTACTGAGGAATAAGAATTGTTTTATTTAGCAAATAGTTTATTTTTAGTACGAATAGTTTTATTATCAATTCGGTTTAGTTTGACTTATACCTCATTTAGAAAAAAAAATAATTTAAAAATAAAAATGAAATACTTTTTTGATTTCTACGGAAAAAGGAAAAGTCAGAAGATTTTTCAACTTTGATAATTAGTTCAAAAAAGGAAAGATTCAAATCCAAAATACATAAATAATAAATTATAATGAAATAATAAATTTAAAGTATTAAGTAAAAATACTATGAAAAAAAAAGAAATATAAATTTAAACGAAGAGAAAGGGGAGAAGAAAAAAAAGGAGGAGCAGTGAAACGAAAAAGAAATAATCTCAAAAAGATTTTAATTTGATAAATGAGAATTAAAACGTGTCTTAAGTCAATTATCCAACTGACTTTATTTATCAGTTTTGTTAATAGAATCAATGGGTTTGATATTTGTTATATTAAAAGTAATAATACATTACTTGGATATGGAACACCAACAAAACCAAATATATGTGAATTAATAACACCATCACAAATAATAATAGATTCAGGAATACCACCTATGTATACATTTCGAAGTGGAACATCAGCAGGAATTAATAACGATACAATAAATATTAGACAACAACTCGTAAATAATGATTTGGAAAAAACAACACAAATAATATTTGAAAAAGGTCATGGATTAAAATCAATTTCATTAGGAGAAACAGCAATTAAATGTTCATGGAGTATTTCTAATGAAAATATTGAATCAGATTTTGTATATTTCTTTGCATATAAAAATGAAGCGTGGGGGTTTACTAAAATTAATGCAAAAACTAGTTTTCCATTATATATTTATACTCAATCATATGAACTATTCGAATTAACGAGAACGAATTCAGAACCATTTGTATTTTTTAATGGTATTAATACTACTCATAATACACTTGAAACAACAAGCAAGCCATATATTAATACAATTAGGAAATCAGTTACTAAAGATTGTATTTATCAATTTTCATCGTATTATATTGGAGGTGCTGGAGTAAATGATGGAAATTATAAAATGATTTCTATTTGTGAAAGAAATTCAATTCAAAGATATGTTCAATGTTATTGGTCAAAAGGTTCTTATAATGATTGTTCTTGTAAACCAGTTTCTAAAGAACCAAAAATTAAAACAAGTGGTAATTTAAAATATCCAGACTGTCACTATTTATCTTATTTATATGATTTTTCTCTTAATATTGAAAATGTTTATGTAGAATTTGATACAGTCAATACAACTACATGGTCAGACTTTCTTATTCCACAAAGAATGGAATCATTAACGTTAGATATAACAGCTAATGGAGTTGATTTTTTAACAATTAATTCAGACTTTTCTTTACCATCATTTTCATTTAAAGTGTATGGTGGTTTAAATATTACTGGTGAATTAATATTTGAAACTGCAGCTAATTATTATTTTAAAAAATTAACATTTGAAAAAGTAATGATTGATGAATATATTGATGATAATACTATTTTATTTGCATCTGCTGTTAATGAAATTGATGCAAAAAAACTTGAATCTATTGAAACATCAAATAAGAAAATTGTTCAAGTTTTACCAACTTGTGGAACAGTAGATACAATAAGAAGATTTGTTAAAAGTCCAGGGGATAAAGGTAGTGATTCTTATTTAGGTTGTAAATGTACTGTTGAAACAGAAACAATTTTTGAACAATTTGATTGTGAAGAGGTTTCAAAAGAACCAACAAGTCAATTAGATCTTATCATTAGTAAAAGCACTTATGATGGAAATAACTTTATTAGGTATTGGAATAATATTAAATTTACTGGAAATGGTTACAGAACTCTTAAAGGATTAAGACATAATGCTAAAATATGTACTTTTATTGCTGATAGAACATATACAATTGATACTGAATTATATTGTGATGAAGTTAATATTGAACAAGGAGTTACTATTGAAGTTAAAGGAAATTTATATATAAAAACACTTAATATTTTAGAAGATTATTCTAATCTTAACCAAAAACCAATTTTTATTTCTTCTCCATTAATTTTAACAAATCTTTCTTCTATTACGTTTGCTCTTCCTTTACAGTCTTGTGTTGAATTAGTCGGTTCTTCTCTTATTTATGATTCAAAAGTAAAAAGTTTTGGGGATTATTCATTAATTGGACTGGAACATTTGTTAAGAGTTTGTCCTAAGGAGTCAATTAATAAAGCTGTTGAATGTGAAATGGATGGAATTAATTATCCAACAAATTTTATCAATTCATATTGTCCTTGTAGTGGTTCAGAATGTTCTATTAAAATACCAAACACTATTTCAAGAGTAACTGCTTCTACTGTATCTAGTATTGAAGGAACATTGACTATTAATGGGGATCTTTCATTAAGTAATTTTAACTTAATTTCTACATTAGAAATTACAAATCAATCCACTTTAATTATTGAAGGCACAACTGAACTTCAAATAAATAGTATTAATCCATCATCTGAATCTATTCCAATTTTAATTCTTCAATCACCTACAATTATTAATGGAGCATTAAATAAATTTAGTATTATACCTTCAAATGTTATTACATTCAATTATAATAATGTTCAATTAGAAAAAGTCACTGAAACCACTTCAGGGTCTTTAATCCTTAAACCAACTGTTACAAGTCTTTCGATTGAAAAAATAGAAACTGTTTCTTCTTTAAATACAATCCCTTTATTTATTTTAGAACGTTCAGAAATACCAATTTCTATTAGTGGTGCTCTTTCATCAGTTTCAAATAAAATTATTTTATTAACTAAAAGTAGAAAAGTCACAGATCCTATTAAAGTTTCTTGTGATGGACAAGCTGTTTTACCAACTGGTTTTAAAGACTGTAATAAAATTGGACTTTCATCACATTCATGTTATTTTAATTCTAACAAATATGTTTTATCTTCATCAAATCTTAATATTGATTATTCTTGTCCTTGTAAGAAAACTAATGACATTTCTTGTACTATAACTATTGATCCGTCATCAACAAGTATTTCTGTTATAAACAATATTACAGAATTTACTGTAGAATCATCTATTACATTCGAATCAAAATCACATACATTTACTATTAGATCAAGTTCAGCTGATGCAATTGTTACTATTAATGGAGATTCAAATTTTATTCAAGTAGATGCAATTCCTGGATTTACTTTAAAATCTACATCTCAAAACAATGTTTTATCATCAATTTCACAATATACATTTAGTAGTATTACAATTGCAAAGAGCAATGTGTTTAGTCTTAAAAAAGTTACAAATAATGGGGTTATTGTTGTTTCATCACTAAATAATTATTGTACAGTTGGACAATTAAATGATAATGTATTCTCATGTCTAATTTGTGGGGATATTACTGCTAATTCAAATGGAATATGCGATGAAAGAAACCCAATTGAACGTTGTAGTTATTTAGTAAATGGATATTGTGAAGAATGTGAAGAAGGATATTATGTTGAAGGAGACAGATTAGGTAGTCAAAGTTGTCAAGCATTACAACCAGGATGTTTAAGAGGAAATTCGAAAGAATGTTTTAAATGTGTTAATAATAAAAAAATTGAAGGAACAAGTTGTATTGATGTTAGTGATTGTTCTTTTTATTTAAATGAATTATGTATTCTTTGTGAAGAAGGAAAACGAAGTAGTGATAGACAGACATGTGACACAAAATGTGATGAATCATGTAAGTGTTGTCACACTATGAAGGATAATGAGGTATGTAATATTTGTAATTTTGAACTTAAATATAGTAAAGGATTTGATGATAATAAATGTACTACTGGAGAGGGAGTTGATATAGTTTCTCCTACATATCAAATATCATGTTCAAAAGGATATAGTTTTGATAGTTCAAATCCTAATAAATGTAATAAATGTATAACTGGATGTTCAATTTGTGAAGGAGGAAAATGTCTTCAATGTGAAAAAAAAGAAGATATTTTATTTAATGGAGAGTGTAGAAGTCAAGAATTATCTAAATGTAAAACTATCGAAGATAATAAATGTATTGAATGTAATGAACAAGAATATTATGACATTACAACAGGAACATGTACAAAATATGATTCAACGTGTAAAAGTGTAGATTATAATGGATTATGTACAAGTTGTACAAACAAAGAGTCTTATGTAGAATTACCTGAAAGAAAAAAATGTGTATCAAATCAACAAGACATAAAATGTTTATCAAGTTTATATGGTATTTGTTATAGATGTATTCCAAAATATTATCCAAATGGAGTAAAATGTGAACAATGTTTAGAACATTGTAAGTTATGTTCTAATGAAAAACAATGTGATGTTTGTGAAGATGGATATCAATTAATAAATTCAACATGTGTTTCATTAACAACAGAACATTGTGAACATTATGGAACATTATCATGCATTAAATGTGAAAGTGGATATTATCTTGATACATTAAAATGTACAAAATGTGATTCTAAATGTAAAGAATGTACATCAAATAATATTTGTTCATTATGCAATGAAGGATATTATTTAAATAATTCAAAATGTATTTCCTTAGAAGAAGCTAATAAAAATCATTGTACAAAGATAAGTAAAACAGGATGTATTAAATGTGAAATTGGATATTATAATAAAGATGGAGAATGTTTAAGTTGTAATTCAATTAAACCTAATTGTGCAGTATGTAATATTACTTCAAATAAATGTATTAAATGTCCAGAAGAATATATAATGAAAGAAGAAGGATGTGTACATTATTCAACAATACCACATTGTAAACAAGCCATAGATGGATATTGTGATAAATGTGATAAATGGTACGCATTAAGTTATACAAGAATTTCATGTGAAAAATATGCAGAAGGAGGACAAATAGCAGCAATAATTATAAGTATAATAATATTAATAAATATAATTATTCTTATTGGAGTTGTAGTTTATTTATTATATAAGAGATATCAAAGACATCTTGAAATAACAAGAGCAA